AAAGAAAGAGATGATGAAATAAAAGAGCTGAACAAGAATTGGTCAACACTGAACTATTTAAGGAAGTCACATGGAATCAAGAACCTGAGGGAAGTTCTAACTCACTGAAGGCACAGGCAAAACATAAGGCTCCAGGAATTGAAAGAATATCAGTTGAGGTATTTCAGCAAACAGGTGTGACCTTGGATGTGCTAATCTTTGTAAAAATTGTAGGAGGTAGTTATTTGGACAACCAATTAGAAAAGATCTATATATCTAGATCACTTTTGATATGACAGATCGTGGAAATTATATAGAGCAATATCACTAATATTACATACAAGCAAAATCTAGCTGAAGATTATTTAAAACCAGGGAACTTCCAGAAATCCAACCAAGATTCAATGAGGCATTATCATTGTTGATCATAAATGGATCTTGGCAGAAAACAGAGAATAGTTGACTTCTATATTATTGACTATACAAAAGCATTCAACTGTGTGGATCATAATAAATTATGGATAATGCTGAGAAGAGTATAAACTCCAGAACACTTAACGGTGCTCATGTAATAACTACACAGAGCAAGAAGCAATTGTTCAAACAAAATAAGAGGGTAAAGTATGACTTAATATCAGGAAAGGTGTGTATCAGGGTTGTGTTCTTTCACCATATCTATTCAATCTGCTGAGCAAATAAATCAAGAATCTAGATTTTATGAAGGATAATGTAGCATCAGGATTGAAGGAAGACTCACCAAAACCCAACATTATGCAGATGATACAACCTTGCTTACAGAAACTGAAGACTTGAAGCACTTACTGCAGAAGATCAAAGACTACAGCCTTCAATAAAACTCCTCCCCACTGGACTAACAGGCAACATTATGACAGATAAAGAAAATATTGAAGTTGTCAATAATTTCATTTTAGTTGGATGTGAAACAATGGGCTTGAGCATGAAGAAGAGGGTGAGAATGTTGCAGGATAGGACCAAGTATTAGTTTATTCATAGGGTTGCTATGAGTCAGAGTTGAATTGATGGCCCCTAACAAGAAGATACATACCAAAACTTATTCTATCGGTTCCATTACCGTTACCTATCTTGTAGTTGGTCCATACTCTGTCCTTTTTTGTTCAGGTTTTCCAAGCAGCTATGGCATAAAGTAAAGGAAAAATATTTTAATCTTTCTTTTTTATATATTCCCTAGCAAGATAGATGTGCCATAGTTGTTTTCACTCCTGCATTCTCAGAATATGTTCTCAAGTCAAATGGTCAAGTGCCTAACAGGCTTGAAACATTACACTTAAGCACTGTAGTGACCCAGGTTTATTATGAATGGAACAATATTTTCAACTATAGCATACGACAATGATTCTCAGTTTCATGGGTATCAAAACCACATACAGAGTTTGTTAAATACAGACTATTGGGCTTATCACTCCCAGCATTTCTCATTCGGTGGATCTGGAACAGGACCCCAAATCTTGCATTTTCTCAAGTTTACAAGTGAAACTAATACTGATAGTTTGGTGTACACACTTTAAGAATAACTGATAGAAACCATACTTAAAATACTAAGACAAAAATAGGCAAGGGAAATGGTGGCTACAAGAAAATGTAAAGACTTAATCTAATCCCAGGGAGACATTAGAAAAAGACTTCATGCAACAGTGAATGAATGGAAATCCAAATTCTCTGTAAATGTTCATTAAAATTAATAAAATAAAATTTAAAAAAAGACTTCAGAGAGAAAATTATCCTTACACTTAAATATTTGACATCCCTCAAAATAAGAAATCAGAATAATAGGAATATCGGAATTCTTAAAACTGTACTATAGAAGATTAATCCTCCATGCAATTGAAGTAGTTCTTTCTTGTACACATGAAGTCAATGTTTCTCAAGAACAACAAATGTTCTTTAGCCCCTGGCAGTGTAACTGCTTGTTGTTTAATTACTAAGCAAAGGTTGGCGGTACAAATCTACTGAGGTGCCTTGGAGAAAAGATTGATAATATACTTCCTTTGAAAACTCTCTGAACTAAGATTCTACCATAAAATATATGAGGTTTTCCTGACTTTGTATTCACTCACCAGCAACCAGTTTTTTAAAAAAAGAATTCACTAAAGAAATCTTAACTTAAAATTTACATCTTAGATGACAACACTAATAAAAGTCTGAGGGACTAGTTTTTGTATCTAAGAAGGAATTCAACTAAAAGTCAAGGAAAATCATGGAGAACAGGTTTCTCAACAACATTGGCAATGATTACAGGCAGTGTGGACTAAACAGAGTCTTATATATAGTGATATTTAAAGAAAATCACTACTAGTTTTTCTCAGTCATCTTGAACTCTGTTTTTCTAGAGCTGAATATTAACTATTCTTGGCACACTACTACCAGGGACTCTCTTTTAAACAAAAGTATGTTGGCTCCAGCTATCTGTCTCTACTTTACCTAAACAATTGTGAACAACTCTTCATTATCATAACCATAAGAAATTTTCAGTTTTAAAGATCTTGCAAGTACATATATTGAATGATGTTTCTATTTTAGACACTTAACTACCAATAAAAAATAATATATGAGAAAAAACAATTTAACTGATAAAATTAAAGCTCAAAGGGAAGAAATATGTCAGTCTTTTAATGGACAAAAATTTTCATTCTAATAGGTGTCTCAAAACAGTGAAAGTCGTTAACAAACCTACTAAAATTCTTTCCATTCTAAAATCTGAAAAAGTTTTCTAACAAAGTTGTTTTTTTTTAAGTCAGGAGTACAGAGTCCTTAATTTTAACTAATAATAATTCTAAAAATATAACCTATTATTTAAGGATAAATTCTAGGGTCCCCAAGTGGGTATCATACCCATAGATAGAACTAAAACGAATCAGATGGTATAGAGGGTCTCATTTCCAGCTAATTTCTAAAATGATCCTTGTATAAATACCTGGGTTTTTTTACCTTTTCAAGCATATCCAACCTGGCTGAAAAACTAGTATGAAAGAATGCTCTGCAGGGATTTCAGATAAAACAGGAATTTCCTGGGTCGGAAAGGAAAGCTTATGCGGTACATTTTTATTTTAAAATCTCCACAAAAGTCAGAGGTTTTGTTTTGGTTTTTGTTGTTCTGTTTTGGTAAAGATGATAGCCTGTTCACTGTGGTGCTAAATGGAACAGCTTTATTGATTGCAGATCCTGTCACTTTGACAAGGCATTATTGAATGCACTGAAGCTTGACTTCAGATTTTGGGTTGATGCCCACTCCCTACGTTCCCTACCATTTTCTTACTCAGAAATTTCAATATGCCAGTAGCTGAATGAAAAGTACTTACGGGTCACAGTAACAATGTCAATGATTTCACAAGACATCTGCAACTTAAAGCCTCAGAAATCACATTTTCATCCAAACCACACTGGCTCTACCACTTCTGCATAAAGGATGTTGTGATAAACTATGAAGTTTTGTTTTTCATAAGTATTTTTTAAATATCTCCTAATAATCTGAAAACAATTTGATAAAACAGTAGCATTGTCTAAAACTCTTTGTGGGAAGCTTGCAGTGAAGTTTTCATTCTTAGCAATTCTCTTTCAAGAAGTATATTAACAAAAAAAGCAGCATATTAACAGCTTGCTCTTCCACATAAATCATTTCAGCCATTTAGGTAAAAGAATAGCTTTTGTGAATTCAAAGAAGTACCTATATCAGTGGTTCTCAATCCTGGCTGTATATTAGAATCATCTGGGTAGCTTTTTAAAAATAACCATGTCTGACCCTTTCTGATTAATTGATTTGAGAGAGAAACTTGGCAGAGTATGTCTTAAATGCTCCCCAGATGATTCTAATGGGCAAGCTTAAGAACCACTAGCTTGCATCAAGAATAGCTTGGGCTCAGCTTCCATCAACACATATTTCTTAATGTGAACTAAAGACAAAGCACACCCAAATCAGCCCAAGGGATAATTAAAAAAAAAAAAAAAAAAAAACAACCTGATAACTACTTTTAGATATTGCTGTGTGAATTATCCCAATTTATAATTACCCTATGGGCAAAGTGGATCTGCCCCATAAGGTTTACCTGGCTGTAATCTTTCTGGGAACAGCCAACCAGATTCTTTTCTTTCAGACTGAGCCCTTGATACTGAAAATGCGCACATTGCCATTAGCAACTTCTCCCTTAGCTACTGGGTCATCTGGGCTCCTTTACGTTTGCAAATTAGTTATGTTAAAACGAAAATTAACCACTGTCATGATCCTTTTCACGAAAATTATATCCCATTTTTATGTCAGGATAGATTCAATCAAGTAGTGTCTGAACTCTGTAAACCACTGAAAATCTCTAGAAATCCAAGTTTTTTGTTAGTTCACATCTTTTAGTTCATAGTTTTGAAAAAAGGTGATCGCCAGGTGTGGTCTCCTCTCCCTTCCCCTCCTCTTCGCTCTCTCGACTTGTGCTGTAACCCTCTAAAACCATCAGTGCTTTTTCTCCAGAAAGCCTTCCTAGGCCATCTAAAGTTCATTTTTCCCCTTAATATTAATATATAATCTCTATCACTTTCCCCATTTTTTGGCAGATGTAGTGCTTTTTAACTTTTTATCCACTTCGGTGACAAGAACCGCTTTTCATAGTTTGGAGGTAATGTTTGGTTTTCCACTACCAAATTTTATATTTCCTCTCATTTTAGCAATTCTCTCAGCCCCAAAATTCCTTTGGATAAGGAGCTGCACTGCCAACCCAAAAGCAGGCAGTTCAAATCCACCAGCCATTTCACAGAATAAAGATGGGCAATCTCCGCCCAAGCCATTTACAGCCTCTGGAAACTCACAAGAGGATCAGCTATGGATCAGTCCCAAGCCCACGGCAATGAGTGCCAAGTATTTACCTTCCTATCAAGAACTCGCATATACTATTGTTCCATTTGGGGATTTTACATGATGCTAAACATAAAACTAGACTTAAAATTCCTTTTCTTGGTAATTGGCTTTTGGCTGTACTGCCTATCTTTGCTCTCTTCAGATACCTCAAAGTCTAAAGCACCTTTATCGCTGGACAACTTCCACAATGGGCCTTTTTTCCAGTCAGCACCCCACCTCTAGGAGTCCCAGTCCCTCCTGAGGAGCCCATTTCTAACCACTTGTTCTTCTGGACCGCCACAAAGTCGGTGAATGGCAGTGTGAGTCCCACCCAGTGGCAGCTATCATTAATATTGGGGGCAAAGGGGTGGGGGGGACAATGAGCCTAAAGAGGATGAAACCAAAGAAGGGGCAGAAGAGGCTGAAAAAAAGGCCCACAACGGTGACCCCAGAACCGACACAGCAACTGTGCTTCCACTGCCCAGCGAGAACCGAACCCTCCCCGTCACAGGAAGTGGGGGCCACACCCCTTGACCCCTTAACCTCAGGGGCCGGAAGTGAGCGTTGCTGGGGCGCCGCTGTGGGGTGGAGGCAATTGTGGCGAGAGCGTGTGGACCAGGTGAGTGTGGAGTCCTGCTTCGGCTTGACGCCCCCGCAAATTTCGCGTTTACTGTAATGGACATGCCAGGTTTCTCCATCTTCACCACTTACTAACCTTCCCTTTTCCACCCCTGGCCTCGGGGATTCTCTGCTCAGCTGTTCGCTGCCTCTTCGCAAAAGGCCAGCTTCTCTCCTTTTCCTGAACTCTTTTTTTTTTTTTTAAGTTAACTGCTTTCCCCTTCTCCTCTTTAGTCCCATTGCTTAAGGGGGTCCCCTATCATCTGTTTAGTCCCATCACTCTGACCTTTCTTGTTTGTTTAAAGGAAGAAAATACGAAGGGACCGCTTCCTTTCCTGAGGTCCCGAGCTCTGTTTAGAGCCGACTACATCCAGGCCCCACACTTGACTGCTTCTCATAGTTTGTCCATTTCACTGAGGTGTAATACTGAAAAGGTAAAGCTATATAACCACTTGTTGCAGAAGGTACTTAAATGGATTGAATTCTAACTTTTTGGATTCCAGTGCCCGTAGGCTAGCTTCTGTCTCAAGATATGCTGGCATCCTACAAACTTCTGAATTAGATTCTAATCTGTGCCTTAAATGCCTCAAAGACAACACAGTACGTGGGTCTTTCCTTCAAAAGTTTCTTTTCCATGAAAAAGGATGAAGCAACTATGTGGATGTGAAACGTGTCAAAAAGGAGAATCAGGATTTTTTAATCCAGACCGGAAAAAATTCACTTTTTAAGACAGTTTTATCAAGAATTGCCGTTAACAAATAGGCTCTGAAGAAATTTACTTAATTAGAGTTCAGCTGATCCTTGCATTTCCTACCATAGGTTCCAAAGTTGCTTATGTCATAGAATGGACTGAGGGAGTATGGAATTGTATGAGTGGCCAAAGGAGAGCCTGCTCACAGAGAATAACTGTAACTTTGCTTTCTATTCAGATTTTCTGTGAGAATGGTTTTATATAAATTTACTTTTCCTCCATAAATTTATTTAATCCCAGTACTTACTTGGTAGGGAATCTCTCTCCAAATCAGATTTCAAACTAAAAACCAGTTTCTTTTATAATCTTTCACATTTTGGTTCAAAATTTGCTTTGTGGTTATGTTTATCCTTAAAATGAATAGTATTTAAGTCCTGATATTCCTAAATTGTTTAGTGAGTATACAGAGAGAGTATTAACTAGAGAGGTTTAACTAACCATGTCTTTATATTTTAGCATAGGAACTTTGAGGGGAGAGAAGGGAAAGCATCACAGGAAAAAGGTAAGAAGGGAATTTATAATGTGGCACTTTTTGATCATGTTAAGGAAGAATCATTGAAATGGAAAACTAGACTGTGAGCTTCCATGTGTACTGCCTGATGTTATGTGCCCTCAAGTCAGAACTAATAGCTGGCCCTCCAGTGAGTTTACAGAGACGGTAAATCACGGGAACAGATTGCCCATATTTGTCCCTGTCTCATATTTGTTGTTGTTGCTTTTGAGTCAGAACCAACTAGTTTGAGCAGGTTTTCAGAGACAGTAAATCACATGGTAGGAAATTGCCTGTCTCTGAGCAACTATTGGATTTGAACTACATGCCTGTGGGTTGTCAGCACAACTCCTTACCACTAGGCCACCAGAGCTCCCTTAGGTCTTCAAAATCCCTATGTTCCCAGGAGGAGCAAAGCTGGCAGCCAGTCCATCCTATATTTTTAAGAACTTTCAAGGAAAGTTTTTAAGTAATACCCTGTTGATGTTTTATTCAGATGTTAAAATAGTGCATAGTTCTTCTGGTCTCTGTTTGCCTAGCTGTCATTAAATAGCATTGAATAATTGGTAAATAGTGACTTAGTGCTTAAAATAAACTGATATCATGTCACCTGAATACAGTTTAAATTAGTAGTCATAATTTTTTCTTAATTCTTGGTGAATCCTAAAATGTATTCCTTGAATGTAGAGTAAGCTGTGATACTAAAATAAAAAAGCTTGAAGTAGTAGTGCTTAAAAGAAAAAAATACTTGGAATGGATAGGATTTAAGGTTTTCTTATATTGAAGTTAGGTAATTTCAATGCTAGTTTGACTCCACCTTACAGTATTTTCTTTGGTACTTTATATTTCTGGATCCCTGAACCATAACTTGTTTTTTCACCCTTCTCTCTCCCCTCCCCTCCCACACTTAGATTCTGCTCCTTCATTTCCAACATGGAAGAAACTTACAGTATGTATTTCTTGTTAGTTCTTACAAAATAAATCAGATTATTTTCATATAGTTTTCTCTCTAATGGGATGTTAGTATATTAGGAAATATTTTCATTGTCCCCTAAACAAAGGAAGAAATGACAGTTTTGATAAGGATATACTTAAAACTCATTGTAGTCAAGTCAACTCTGACTTAAAAGACCGAGTAGCACTGCCTCATAGGGTTTCCAAGGTTGTGAATCTTTTTGACAATAGACTTCCACATCTTTGTCCAAAGAGTGTCTGGCGGTTAAAATCACAGACATTCAGGCTAATAGCTAAATGTGTTAGCCATGGTGCCTATCAGGCCTCAGTTAGTAATAATACGTACAAAAGAGCTCAGATTTTAAATCAAATACTTGAAATGTGAATCATTAAGTATAAGTAGTCACAAAGCTTTGTAAAAGCTACAATCATGGAATCTCTGTTAAACTAGAGTAAATGTGGCATTTTAAACTCCTTAGAACTCAGTTTCTCTTTATATGACATTGAAATAGTAACTCTGCTTTCTATTTTATGGGATAATACAACACAAATCATAATGTTGATGTACTTGGCATTTGTAAGATTAAAGAAATTATAGGAAAAAATAGGTCTTAAGTGATCCAGAAACCTTAGCACGGGAAATCAAAGGGAACCAACACTAGAATAATAGAAGCCAACTAACTACTCATCTTTTTCCCTCAGAGAAGTTGGTAAGCTTCAAACCACCAGTTAGCAGCGCAACACTTAACCTACCAGGGGTCGTTTGGGAAAGTTGTTATTCTCTATTAAATTAGAAGGCACCCTCTTTCCTTTCACTCTGTTACTTTTCACATTCATCATTTTTTTTCTAAAATAACATTTTTTAAAAAATATATCCTAGATCTGGTTATAAATGCAGAGTCCTATGCCCTGTTCCAGACTCAGAACCTTCGTTTTAACTCTTGTAAAGTATTTAATCCCTAAGGAAACACTGCCTTAGGCTATATATGGTATTTGACCTTTTTCCCAAATTGATCTATAACTCCAACTTTAATCTAACATATAAATCTAATTTCTGAACATGTCCAATTTTTGTTTTGAGGCTTCTCTTAACTAATATTTTTGCTAAGCCTAGTTCTTTTTTTCTATGATGTATTATCCACCTCTCACCATAGGTCCTAAGCCCTACCCAAGTTTGAGAAACTGCTAACTAAATGAATGGGGAAGGCTTATCAGACCTACTTTGTTTTTTAAATGAAAATACATTTCCAAGGAGCAAGACAAAAATTTTACAGTTTGATAGCATTTATTACAACTTAAAATGCACGTGTACTTCAGTGCAGCACAGAGAAGTATGTGCAGATTGTCATAGCACTGTATATAACAAGGAAAGCCCTGAAGCCACCTAAATGCCCTTCAGTAAAGGATCTGATTAAGAATCTGTGGAATATATACATGCAGTAATGAAATACTATATTTACTGACATAAAAGGAGCTTTAAAATATGATAAGTGAAAAAAGTTGGAAAAGTATTTTTTTAAAAAAGAAAATACAGTATTATACACTGCATCCTTTTGTGTGTTGGACAGCTAACCAAAGTTCAGCATTTCAAATCCATCAACCAGTCCTCACGAGACAGATGGGTAGTCTCCTGTTTAGATTGACATCTTGAAAACACACTGGAGGGTTACCTTGAGTCAGAATTGATTTAACAGCAGTGGCTTGGTTGCGCGCGCGTGTGTGTATGTGTGTGTACATACACGTATGTACACACACACTTAAAGTTTAAAATCAAGAAAGGAGTGTATCAAGGTTGTCTTTTCCACCCTATCTATTCAAGAAACTGAACTATAAAGAAAAACGTGCCATCAAGTTGCAGGCAGACTCATTCATCATCTACCGACATTATTCTCCACAATCTTAGGTATTTCTCAAACTTGGGTAGGACCTAGAAACCATGGTGAGAGATGGAGGATGCACAGTGGAAATAAAGAACTAGATTTGGCAAAAGTATAATGTGGAGGACTTGAAGCATTTACTGAAAGACATCAAAGACTACAGCCGTCACCACCCCAACATAAATCAGTCAACTCAATAAACAACATCCTCATAAGCAAAGATTGAAGTGACCCACATTTTCATTTATCTTGTGTATACAGTCAACACATATGGAAGCAGAAGAAAAAAAATCAGATCACATATTACTGCTGTCAAGGACATCTTTAAAGTGCTAAACAAGGATATCATTTTAACAACTTAGGTGCATCTGACCCAAGCTGTGGTATTTTGCATTGCATAATATGCATATGAAAGTTGAACATACATAAGGAAGATTGAATAATTTTGATGCCTTTGACTTGGGCAGTTGACAAAGAATATACTGTGGACTGCCAGAAGAACAAATCTCACTTGGACAGAGTATATACTTAAGAGATAAGGCAGATGAGACTTTATGTCACATACTTTGGGCATATTATCAGGATGGGCCAGTCCTTGGAAAAAGACATTATACTTGGAAAGGTGGAAGGTCAGCAAAAGAAAGCTCTAGTGACTGTCATGGGCTTAAGCACATCTGAGATTGTGAGGATAGTTCAAGATGAGGCAAGGTTTTGATATATTGTACATAGGGTTGCTATGGCTCATTGGCTCTGTGTGTGTGTTTGTGCATACACAGATATATTCTTATATATGTATATTTTTAAATATATATTATGTAGGAAAAGGTAGCTTATGTTACCTTGATGTCATTACAAACTAAAAACTTTGATTACTCTGAAGAGGAAAGGAGAATTGAATACAAAAGGACTTTGATTACTCTGAAGAGGAAAGGAGACTTGAATACAAAAGGAATCTTCATTTTTATATCTATTTTTTTCCAATAGACTGTATTAATATTTTTGTTGTCAATAATTGGGATATTATAGCTAATATCAGATGGATCTTGGCTGAAAGCAGTACCAGAGGAATGTCTATCTTTGTTTCATTGACTATGCAAAGGCATTTGTGTGGATCACAACAAACTGGCTGACTCTGAGAAGAATGAGAATCCCAGAACACTTGATTGTGCTTATGCCAAAACCTATACTTGGACCAGGAGGCAGTCATCAGAACATAGCAAGGAAACACTGTATGGTTCAGAATTGGGAAAGATGTGTCCTGTCTCCATGGCTTTGCAGTCTATATGTGGAACTGATTATCTGAGAAGTATGGCATCAGGATTGGAGGTAGACTCATCAAAAACCTGCATTGCTGAAACTGAGGAGGACCTGAAGCACTTGTTGCAGAAGGTCAAGGACTTCAGCCTTCAATAGGGATTAAAGTTCAACATCAAGAAAACAAAGATTCTCACCACTGGGTCGATAAGCAGCAGCATGATAGATTGTGAAGAGATTGAGATTGACCGTTTCAGTTTGCTTGACCCTACAATCAACACTCTTGGCACCAGCAACCAGGAAATTAAAAGATGAATTGCACAAAACAACTATGAGATAATCATCTCACCCCAGTAAGAATAGCAAAATTTAACAGAACAGCAAGCAACAAATGATGGCGAGGATGTGGAGAAACTGGAATTCTTATTCACTGTTGGTGGGAATATAAGATGGTGCAACCATTGTGATGCTTTCTCAAAAAATTGCAAATAGAGATACCATTTGACCCAGAAATCCCATTACTGGGAATATACCCCAGAGAGACCATGTCTGCCATCCAAGCAGATACAAGCACACCCATGTTTATCGCAGCTTTGTTTACAATAGCAAAGAGTTGGAAGCAACCTAAGGGGGCCCATCAACAAACGAATGGATAGAGAAGCTGTGGTATATCCACACTACGGAATACTACGCCACATTGAAAAACAAGGAATTCATGCAATATTATTCAAAATGGGTCATCCTGGAGGACTGTTGTAGAATGGGTCTGACATCAGGGTTGGAGTATGACAGAAAAAACTGGATAAATTATGTATATTATATTAAAACAGATGAGGGAAAGAACAGATTAGAGGTGATATATGGTTGAGTATTATGGTTAGCACAGGATCCAGAATTAAGGTTGCATAGAGAAGTGTACTCGGGGTGGGGGGAGGGGGAAGGGATGGGGGAATTGTATACTAATGAAGGAATTTTTTTTTTATTTTCCCCTGGAGAGGGAAGCAAACTGGTGGGGAGGGGTGGGCAGAGAGAAAAGTGCGGCAATGAATGAATGGAAATCCAAAAAAGATGAATTGCAATGGGAAAGTCTGCTGTTAGAGACCTCTCCAAAGTACTGAAAAGCTACAGTGTCAGTCTGGAGACTAAGGTGCACCTGATACAGGCCATGGTCTTTGCAATTACTTGCTGTGTATCAGAGAGCTGGACAGTAACTAGGGATGATAGGAGAGTTGATGCCTTTGAGCTGTGGTGCTGGAAAAGAGTATTGAATATATAATGGACTGTTAGAAAAACAAGTTCTTCCTGAAGAAGGTGAAACCAGGCTGCTCCTTGGAGGCAAGGATTCTGAAGTATCTGACATACTTTGGACATGTTGCAAGGGGGGATCACTGCATAGAGAGGGACAGCTCAGGAGAGGAAAACCCTCGATGAGATGGATTTATTCAGTGACTGGGTAGTAGGGGTAGGTGTGTCAGAGACAAAAAGATTGGCAAGGGATAGAGCAGGGTTTAGGGCTGTTGTACATAAGGTTGCTTTGAGTCTCAGGTGACTCAGTGACACATAACAATAATATTTTTAATGTAGACAAACCAGATTAGAACTAAATCACCAAGGTCTAAGTAGTAAAGCATTATAGTAGGAAGCTGCCATTATCAGCTGACATATGCTGGCAATATAATGTGTATGGATCATAAGGAACAAGTAGTCTGTCAGCTGCTGACAGTAGCCTAATATTTGCCAGTGATGGAATGGATTAAATGAGGGGAAACTAATAACAATTTTATCTATAAACTCTCTGGGTGTCTTAAAGCTTCAGAAATAGAAAAGGATTGCTAGTCAGGAAGAACCTGGTTGGCATAATAAGCTTGCCTGTCCTCACAGACTTTTTCTTATCATTCTGTCCTTCAAGTCACCTTTCTGGCTCATTTGCATCACATTCATGGCTAGAAATTCATTCCATGTTTACCAGTCTCCCAATGAAACTGTTTCAATTCCCCACTGGCTTCTGATTTTCCTAACAGTCTCCTGGTTTATAAGCTACTTATCAAATGTGAATTGTTTATGTTATTATTTTGAATTGTTAGCTCATTTTTACCATTCCCTTCAGTGGTGGCAAGAGCATTTTTTAAGTTAGTTTTTGTCATCATAATATATTCAGAAGGTGATAAGCCATTTGATTTCTCATCCTTAACTAGGATTGTTAAAATTTGAGGCTCAAAACAGAACAACCAGAATGGAAGTAATGAGAAAGTTTATGCTTGTGAAGACTGTAGTGTCACTAAACAATTGCTGAAGAAATTGTTGAATAGGAATCTAAACGGCTGTGTAGACAAGACTTTTGCCAAAAATAAGAAGTGGTATTTTTTTAAAATGGGGACTTGTCATTGTATAAAGCCTGAGAGAACTATTAAATAGCATTGTTTATGCTAAGGGCTTCTTTCATACAGCTGTTCCAATAGGCTTGCAATCTTAACCTCAGGAAATTCTGTTTCAGTAGATTGCTTTTTAGCTAGCCAAGATGGTGACTACTGGATTTTTAAATTTCATTTCTTTCTTGTCTATGTTTCAATATATCAAAGTGAAAGCACCTGTTGGTTTCATTTGAGAGATAACTAGAATAAGCAAGATCAGGAATGTATACAGTATTAAGGAATAAGTTAAAGTAGATGGATAAAAATATAAATCTATCAGTTATTAAGATTTCGTAGGACATATAGTAGATTTAGAGGAGTGCTTCCCTTTTTCATGTCTTTACATAATAAATGTTGTTGTTGTTATGTGCCGTCGAGTCGCCTGAGACTCATAGCGACCCTATGTACAACAGCCCTAAACTCCGCTCTGTCCTGTGCCAGTCGCACTGTCTCTGACACTCCCATCCCAATTATCCCAGTCACTGAATCATTCCACCTCATAGAGGGCCTTCCTCTCCTGCGCTGTCCCTCCACCCTCCCA